TGTATCCCACATCATGTGTATCGTAATAGACCTGCTGTATCCCACATCATGTGTATCGTAATAGACATGCTGTATCCCACATCATGTGTATCGTAATAGACCTGCTGTATCCCACATCATGTGTATCGTAATAGACCTGCTGTATCCCACATCATATGTATCGTCATAGACCTGTTGTATCCCACATCATGTGTATCGTCATAGACCTGCTGTATCCCACATCATGTGTATCGTAATAGACCTGTTGTATCCCACATCATGTGTATCGTAATAGACCTGCCGTATCCCACATCATGTGTATCGTAAAAGTCAAAAGGCGTCTTTTCGGGGGCCCACTGCAGCATAGTTTTTTTCTTACATTTGTACGTGTCTCTACGAAGAGGAGATGGACAAGATCAACATTGACCTGCTGCCCCCATTGCAACAATTGGTATATTTTTTTCTTATCCACTTTTGCTTCCCGGCGGTGTCTACTAGGCATCCGCCATCATATGGCCCTGGCTATTTCGAGAACGTAAACGCCAAACCATTCACAATCACATCCAAAAATATTTGTTTGGTTGTTTGCTAATGAAATATTTGTTTGCACGGTAGTGCCATTAGACGGCATGATAAGTGATACGTGTTCGTTGTATCTGGATGTTCATCTGTATTGGAATTCGTGCACAAATAATGTTAACGTCTTGGGAATAGTAATTGACATTAATTAACTTTAAAAAAATCATAATAATTTACAGCAAATTAAAAAAATATAACAAAATTCGTCTGGTTTGCTTAAATATCTTCAGTTTGAGTAACGAGCCAGCCGCAGATCAAATTTAGGTCACAAATACACCCTTCTGCGTGGAGCGCAGGTCATGATAAGTTTAGTAAAATATGTGATAACAAGTGTACCTTGTTATTGGCCGGATATAACAAATCAGATGGTTATTTTTTGTCGCTTTTTGCGCAAATAAATTTTATTTTAATATATCTTTTTAACTCCTGGCTATAAGTAAATTTGCTGAAAAAGGGACCTACTAATTTCATCCCAAAGACGGGAAACACGCTAACATAGACACTGTTTTTACAGGGAAATTACCAAGACCAGCATGACTCTATTAAAAACGGCTTCTTGTCAACGTCATTACCGGTAAAGGGTCAATTGGCATAGGCAATGATGCTTTCTGTATTGCGGTGATTGGAGATAGAGGATTTAAAAGTTTTAAGAAAATCGGATGAGATTTAATTTCTCGTGAGCTATACTGTAGATATAAGATCTCGCCATTCCCTGCTATATACACAATGCAAGTAAAGAAAACCCCGCGTATGCATTCATATTTTACTGACAAGCAGGATACTTAATGGCTAAAATACAGAGCACTAGCTCATTACCCTTTAAATTCTGAACAAGATAAGTCAAGTATGAATCAAGCCCAGGGGAAGATATTATAGAAATAATTTTCTCTCCTAATTGGCCGGATATAACAAATCAGACTCTCTTTGCTTCAATAGACACTATTAATTATTTTGTCATGTCAATTTGTAGGGAGGTGTTAATCGGGATATGTCTAAGCCACGCTTGCTTGTCCGGCCTCATCAAGTATGCATACTTGCACATACCTACAGTACTTTTCCATTTCTCTAACGTCCCTGCCAGATAATAGGGCCGAGTCTCCGTGTTCTCCAGCTGGACTGGTCAGGCAAGCTATGACACGGCCTATCTTGTCCTGCGGACATCCAACGACCACGTCCATCACGAATGTGCCCGCCACTCCTATCAAGGACAAGCAATGTAATGTAAATGGTGACTTGAGGTAAGGTACACTGTAACTAGACACTTATAATCAATATACAACATCGTTCCTGATAAACCATCCGATTGTTACGATGCTAACAACAGGATCAAAGACAAAACGCGACGGTATTACACGGAACGATCCACAGGAATCGGTAAATCGGTTAAACGAATATACTGATGATGTTGACTTTTTATTTGATTAAATTCAATTATTTATCATTTCTTTACATTCCTAAAGGTTCTGTAGATTTCTCAGGAGTAGGAATGGTTTACTATTAGATATTATATATGAGTCGTGACTCTCGTGATGTTGGTATTAAAAGTTTGACCTTTCGCAAACACGGACTATGTTTCGAGTGGAAACTTTCTGCGAAATAAAATCATAAGACGACGTCAAAATTAGTAAAAGAGGGCCAACCTCTGTCAAGACGAAAACCTATCTCAAGACTCGCGCAACTAAATCAGCCAATCAGCAAGTGTTTCATGCGATTGAAATCTCTATCTAAAACTTGTTCCAGTTAAATACAGTGCATCTGATAAATTCAAATATGTGATTGTTGACATCTTTATTACAGATATTGATATTTTGAAAAATACAATATTGTTTTAGTAGATTTTAATATGTGATGGCGGATTTACATTGGATCAAAAGTCAGGGGGGGTTCCCGTCCCGCTTTACCGGTTTGACTTGTAAGCTTTCGGTTGTCAAAAGCAGAAGCGTGTAGCACTCTTATGTGCCATTAAACCTGCAAAACATGTTTCTATGACTCTAGACAAATGTCACCAGTGTTGAACT